ATCATTAATTAAAATATAATATCACAATTCTGACGTGAAAAATAGTAAAAACATTGTTTTTTTTAGAAAACGTGGACAATATTTTTTTGCAGAAAAATACGAAAACTCCGTGCCTATAAATTTGATAACGAAAATGGATACGATATCAAAGGTAGTGAACATGGAATCCATAGCAGTTTCTGGATCTCAACTCTTTCTTTCTTCTCCTAACAATTTTTTTTCAGTAAGCAAACCCTCTTGCTTTCCGCTAACGTCACTTCCCACAAAGCCTCCAAAGTTTGTTCATTTGAAGGCATCATCTACTCTGACTTGTGATGATCAAGGAATTAATCGCACCTTTAAGAAATTGCAACCTTCTCCATGGACGGATCAATTCCACTCCGTTAACGTCGATGTCTCAGTAAGTCCATATACATACATATATAGCTAATGAATATAGATTAGAGAAGGTTAACGCATGCATGTGTACATATCTTACTTTTAGGAAATGGATGCGCTTAGGAAAGAAATCGATGTACTAAAGCCGAAAGTGAAGAAGACACTCATGTCTAACCAAGGGGTCGACTCGACAAAGAAGAGAATCCTTATGATACATTTGTTGAGGAGCCTTGGTCTTGAATATCACTTCAAGGAAGAGATCGATGAGACTCTAAAAGAGGGTTTCGAAAAGATAGAGGAGATGATGGCTGGTGAAGAAGACTTGTACACAGTTTCCATCATCTTCTGGGTTTTCAGGAGTTACGGTCACAATATATCTTCTGGTAAAAGAGTCTCAGGCTTTTTTCATCATTATCATTTTGTTCGTATAAGTTTTTGTCATCTCTAGTTTGTATGTATAACAAGTTGGTCCGTTTTGGTCGTCGATAGATGTCTTTAGAAGATTCAAAGGGCTCGACGGAAACTTTAAAGAATCTCTTAAGGGGGATGCCAAGGGTATCTTGAGCTTGTATGAAGCTGGGCACTTGCGGACAACGAAAGATTATATACTGGACGAAGCATTGAGCTTCACCTCAAGCCACTTGGAGTCATTGGATTCATGTGGGACGTGCCCGACTCATCTCGCAATACGTATACGAAATGCTCTCACTCTATCTCAGCATTGCAACATGGAGATAGTAGCCACAGTGGAATATATTGCATCCTACGAACAAGAAAAAGACCATGACAAGATGCTACTCAAATTTGCTAAGATCAGTCTCAAGTTAGTACAGCTCCAATACCTTCATGACCTAAAAATCGTTTCAAAGTATGTAACCTCCTCACTTTATAGTGTTTCTAGTGCTTTGCTTTAGTTACAATCCTCCAAAGAAGTTATTCTATATCTTTGGATGCAAGATGGTACAAGGAGCAAGAGTTTGCATCTAAGTTCCCACCTTTTTTCAGAGACAAACTCGTAGAAAATTATTTCTATGTGCTAGGAGTGTTCTTTGAGCCACAACAATCACTTGCAAGGATTGTGTGTACTCAGTGCTTCACCCTTTTCGAGATTATTGATGACACATTCGACAGATATGCTTCTCTATCTGAGGCTGAAAGCCTCGCAAACAGCCTTGAAAGGTACACCCTAGCTATGAATTAAAATTCCATGTAAACA